TTACCCAGCTTAACCCAACGGCGTGCTTGCTCTCAAGCAAACCATTTGCTCTATCTACACTCTTCATAAGCATTCTGCCATTACATAAGAAATTTGTGTGTAAGCATAAAATGCAATATATGGTCATTCCACAGAAAATTATCAACACTCAATTACAGGGTGTAATATTTTATTGAATCCCTCTAGAATATTTTTCATTACTGCAAAAACTGCACATACTCTCCTTTTCTCAATATTAATTGAAATACAATCTATGTAAAGCAAAAAACCCCACCCCATGAAATACATTTAGTTTTATAAAGCCCAGAAGACTTCATATTGTCACAGTATTTCTCAAATTAAATGAATACTTCAGATTAATGAAAATATTTTGCATGTACTTGAACATAAATGACCTACAGAAACTCAGGTATACATGTTTAATTCCAGCTTGTAGGAGTCATTACTATACTGTTGCTATTGCTGTAGGTTTTGGTTTTTTTCCTTATATCCCAGATGAAGTTGACTTGTGGCAGAAATTTTGTGAACAGAATGACAATGAGAAGTAATTAAAAATGGCCTTTCAAAAGACTTGCATGAATGAACTGCTCCAAATAGAACGGTGCTTCTAAGGATCTCCATCTTGACTAGCCAGTACTTGAAATGTCAAAATATTTTTTGACTATTTGCTGCACTGCCAATAGGACTTGCATTCTTTAAAAGATAAGTCTACTGTGCCACTTATGTCATTTTGCTTTCCTTTGTTAAGGTGTGTGTGGCAAACATCTGAGTGCAGTTTAAATAAATTAATAAATACGAGCCTTTTGGTTCCCAGCAATTCTCAGTTTTGACAAGTTAGATACGATAACTCGTGAAAAAAGTAAGAAGCATTGACTGTTTGAGAATCACATAACCAACTCCCACTTGAGAAGGTCAGGCAACCTCTTTAATAAAACGAGTATGACTCCTCAGCCTCAATACCTATAGACATCTATCTCCATCAGCATGCACCGCGACATGCCTGGCAGCCCAGAACTGAATCTGACTGAATCGGTCACATTACTGATTTAAAGTTGGGTGCAATGTGCAATGGGAAGCTGAACAGCCTGCTTGCTTCTTTCCAGGGAAACATATGCATGCTACAGGATGAAACAAGAAGTAAACTGATTTCAGCTCTTACTGAAACCTCACGCTATTCTCTCCGGCCATCTATGACCTTGTAGTGCAAAATACATGTAAAATATTTAATTATGTATAACACTAACATTACCTTGAATCATTTCAGTCTCTTAAGAGGTTTGAAAGCGTATGGGATGTCATCAAAGATCTTAGAAGGGCTGAACAGATTACCCATTTATAAAAAAATTATGAGAGGAAATAATTTGAACAGGCAAGTAACCTACAGGTAAACTAAATAAAGACAAACTGGAATGCTGAGCTACGTCTGACCTACTGCTTCTTTCTCCACCCATTATATTATAATGCCTTAGGATCTGAAGATCTGCTTTCGTACTCATCCTTCACACTCCTCTCAAGGGAGCAAAACAGTGACTAATTCTGCATGTTGCTTGCATTTACAATTTGGCTGGAAAACAGGTGGGTGACAGAATAACAAACCTAAACCAGAAGTACGTTCTTCGATGGCCGGTTCTTGCCCTGCTACATCAGGGGGACTTTCTCACCCCATGTCTCATGTCACTATACAGAGGACCATGAAGAAATATTAAGTAGCAGGTAAAGTGATTAACTCTAAGTGGGTCTTCAGTGGTGACTTCAGCAGTAACAGAATGAATCGTGCCTCTGAAACGAGAGTCCTCCTTGGTGCACTCTGTAGGTGATGGTCTGATCACCTCTGCCTTCCTCCAGATGGATCCTACTCAGGCGCACATTCGCGGACCATTGTCACAACTGCACTGCCTGTGCTCCATACTTCGGTGTTTGGGTCAGTGCCACCAAGACCTGCTGAGAAGTTAGATGTACTAGGTGCAGAGTTTAAGCTGATCTAAGCTGTTGACGTTGCATTTCCCCATTCCCTCACCAGCTGTGCCTGCCACTTCCTTTGAGCTGGCACTTGTGCACCCGGGCAATGAGCTGGCTCAGAGGAATGATTTGACTGAAACACAGACCAGGAAAAATGTGGGTTGTGCGTGTGGGAGGTTTTTGGGGGGTTTTGTGTGTGTGGTTTTTTAAAAATATTTTGGCTCAAACAGTTCTCTAAGCCAGCTTAAAGCCAAAGCCACCACAACTGAGACAGGCTCATGCTGCCACAGAGGTCCCTGTGACTCTGGGTCAGCATCTGTCTGTGTGAGCAGTACTACTTCTGAGCCAGCGCTTGCTTGCAGAGATCTGGTTTATGAGCAGGTAAATTAGAAGCACTGAGGCCAACAAAACCTTCAGCTGGACCTCAAAAACAGTCTTATGCCCCCAAAGTGTTTTAACTGTGTTAAGGGAAGAGACAGTGCATTTAAAGCCCTATTATTTAACCTGCAAGCATGAGGAGATTAAAGCACTGTCTTTGATACAAAGCATTGCTGATGTCCTCAGGAACAGAAAATATGAACAAAGGGTAAAAATAAAAAAGCTTATACATCTTATACTTCAATTTCACTTGTTCCTTTTTTTTTTTTTTTTTTTAAAAGACTCTCTCAGGCCAGACAAATATTGACAGATGATCTTGCTTCCTGAACGCTCAGCGTCTGTGTTTCTTTGCCTAGGCTGTTAGCCTTCCCCAGCCAATCCCTCAAGACAGCATTCAGTTTCCAACCTTCACTACGCCTCAGGTGCCCTCTTACGTCATTTCTTTTCAGCCTTAACTAAACATTTGTATCATTCAGTTTGTGAGAACACACATTTTTACAGCTACAAATTTTGCTGTTGTATTTATGTCTGCTTTGACACTCCTCATGCAAGCTACTGTTTTACCTTACTTGATTCTTCCAACAACTCTCTTAGATCTACCTCCACGGGAAACAATTGTGAAGAGATGGAAGCATCTCATATTCAGATATAAATTTTTTCAGCTTCTCATATATCTCTTAAAAAGCATATGCACATTGAATGAGTCAAAAAATTAACCAAGCACACACATCAGAGCATATTGTCCAAATTCAAGTTTTAATCCACTGTCCCTCTGTGATTGTAATGCAGTGCATTATCATTGGCACAGGACTAGATCTAGCTGGGATAAGAAAGTTTAGAAAAATAAGAATAAGGGTCAGAATATAGGGGTGTCTGTAAGAATTAAGAATACAATTAGGTTTTATTTTTAAGTCTATGAAGCACTTTATTAATAAACTATGGAAAATCTATGGCCACTGAAAACATGTGAGGAGTTTAACTAAACTCACAAATTTACACATGCTAATATACATAACAAAATAACTTCATTCAAGTGCTAATGTTTTCTTCCCCTAAGCTTTCATGATCTCTTTTAATACACATGAATGTCATTTCACTGTAAGAAAGCAACCAAAAGCAGAAATTACTCCATTTTTACTGATGCTGTATATTATGTTTTCCATCTTAGTAAATGATAGTATTTGATAGAACTGTATTATCTCTAATGCACTGTATAGACTGGTAATTGTTTATTATTTCAAAAACTGCACTAACCATTAGATTATTTAGGGAACAAGATAACTCTGGTCTTCCCTGCATGTGAAATTTGCTGGATTGGGATGCAGAAAAACTGTTTTTCTGTTATACTACTCAGGCAAATTAATTGGAATGGGATACTAAGGACTGAGAGCTACTTGAAGACATAAATAACGACAACTGAGGCTTGTATCTTATTTTGTCATAGGACCTTAACTTTTTTTAGGTTTCAAAGCAAAATTTGAACAACAGCTGGGGAATATTTGGATCCAGAGGGAAGATAGAAGGAAGAAAATGGAAGGTGGAGGCAAGCAGGAGGGTACAAAATAGTAATTTTGTTCAAATAATATTATTGAATATTTCATAGGTTCTCAAACAGAATAGTTCTCATGCCAAAAACGATACTGTCAAATGACAAACCAGATTAAGCCGTTTAAAGTTTAAGAACAACTGTTAGTTGGTACACTGGATTTTTTAAAATAATTGCCTCCTTTTTCTTAAGCTTTTGCAGGAACAACTTCCCATTTGATTTGCAGAAATATTTATTATTGCCAAAAAAGGAAATAATTCTAAATGGTACCTAAGTTTATTGCTGAAAGAATACAGAGACAAATAGTACTTAAGGCAAGAAATTATAGCTTTCAGAAAACATTCCATACAAATATACGTATCTCAATATATCAACATGAAGTTTGTTGCAAACTGAAATACAGGTACAATTGTTTCATAACAGAAGACACTATTATCAAGATTTTCAGACTCAAGAGCTACCAATCTTTGAGACAAATGACCACCCAAGCAGATTTAGTGTTAACAAGTTTGCTAAGGAAATATCAATAATAATAAAAAAATCCCAGTGTACGAGTTGTAGTTAAAAAATAATAAAATGTTGTTATAGTTATTGTCACTGTATGTTAAATATATTAAATATGTTTTGCAATTTTTAAAACATGCTAATGACATGCATGCATATAACAAGATATTCCCTGAAACAAATTTAACAATAGAAAATATTTCAAAAGAGCTAAATAAAGCTAGATAATTAATACAAAAAACACAATATTGTAAAGATTACTTCATTTAACTAGTACTGTTACTTTGATACAAATACTTACAAGCCTACCACATTTTTCTTGGGCTGAATCTTAAAAACAAACTTCAGCAAACTTAAAGCAAAATTAAAGCTTTACATACACTGTACTGAAAATGTAATCAGTGATCAGAGATTTTTATCACTCTCATAACTCTTCATAGCAAATCTACAGTTTTTAAACTTAAGATATTAATGGGAGGTGAACAACTATCAGTATGTGTATGTGCATATATACATGTATGTGTGTATATATATATATATGAAGGACATAAGCACCACTAAAAAGCCCTTTAATTTATGGGACATATGAAAGTAAAGTCATTGGGACTTGTACCTTGTGCTGGCGATACTTGGTGATTCTGCTCCAAGCCTACATCTTTCTAGCTGATTAGCCACAATTTGCCTTTCCACTTCCAGTTCTCTGGTAAGTCTTTGAAATTGGAGTTCCTGAAATTTCAAAATAAAAAGAAAAGCATTCTTGATGTTAAAAAAATTGGTGTGGATTAATTCTGCAGTAACCACTGTTTCTTGTTTTGACTCTTCCTTAGTGGATTAAACTATCAGAAGATTAAAGTGGGGATTTAATGGGTCCTTAAATCAATGCTTCATGCAAATACTAAGTTATCACCAGTTAAAAAAGGAAAACAGTGTTCAAGCATTTGTGGTTTTTATTTATCCTAAAATTTAAGTTTTTGGTATCTCCTTCTGTTGCCAAAGCCTAATAAATTGGAGTCCATAAAGCCAGTCTTCATTTTCATCTGTAACAGAGGTGCATTGGAAAATACTGTATCCTATCCTTTCCAGTTGCAAAACCTCAAATCCTAAACTATACTACGTTGTGATTTCTGTATTTAAAATTTTAAAACTTATTATTTCAAAATGGCTGAGGGTAGAGATATGCTATTTCAACTTTTCTGGTTTCAGTTTTTGTTACATTTCCTGGTCAAAGGTACCAATCCTTCTGCCTTTTATAAATGCTGGCTTTTGGAAAATAATGCTCAGAGAAAAACATAGGAAATACAAGCAGCTACCCCGAATGTTTGGTTATTAAAATCTAGAAAGATCTTCCATAAACAGAATATTCTAAAATCTGTCATCAAAGGATAAGAGAGACCTTTCACTCTACTGCTAGCTTTTGTTAATGACAGAAGAAGATTCTATCAGAGCAATGATATTATTTTTCAAATTGGTGTTCCACACTCACTGATTGCTAAGTAAACTCTTTAGTGCTGTTTAAAATTAGATAAATTATATGATTTAAGAATTTGATAAATATTGAACCACATCTTATATGGAAGTCCTACATAGCACAGAAGTATCTATTTAATTTTAAAGAGTAAATCACTAATTATCTTTATTTTCTGAATGTATGTTGTGTAATTGTATTACATAGTAGTTACGTGCCTTGTCATACTACAGAAATCACTTCAGTCACTGATTATAGTTAACACACAATATTCTTTTATACCTTATGTTACACAGAAAGGAGACTTACTTATCCCAATCTTCTAAATACTGCCTGACAAAACTTTTTGTATTCAGCACGTGAAACTTAACATTAGATGAGGGAGAGAGGAAGATGTTGTCCACCTGTACTTCAGCAAGGCTTTTGACATTGTCTCCTGTAACATCTGCATAGGCAAGCTGGACAGGGAGTGGACAGGGGACTAGTCAAATGGCAGAGCTCAGAGGGCTCTAATCAGTGGCACAGAGTCTAGTTGGAGGCCTCTAGCTAGCGGTGTCCCCCAGGGGTCAGTCCTGGGTCCAGTCTTGTTCAACGTATTCATCGATGACCTGGAGGAAGGGCCAGAGTGCACCCTCAGCAAGTTTGCTGATGATACTAAACTGGGGGGAGAGGCTGACACACCAGAAGACTGTGCTGCCATTCAGAGGGACCTGGACAGGCTGGAGAGCTGGGCAGAGAGGAACCTCCTGAAGTTCAACAAAGGCAAGTGCAAGGTCCTGCACCTAGGCAGGAATAATCCCATGCACCATGTACAGGCTGGGGGCTGACCTGCTGGAAAGTAGCTCTGCCGAGAAGGACCTGGGAGTCCTGACGGACAACAACTTAAGCATGAGCCAGTAGCATGCCCTTGTGGCCAAGAAGGCCAGCGGTCTCCTGGGGTGCCTGAGGAAGAGTGTTGCCAGCAGGTCGAGGGAGGTGATCCTGGCCCTCTACTCAGCCCTGGGGAGGCCTCACCTGGAGTACTGTGTCCAGTTCTGGGCTCCCCAGTACAAGAGAGACATGGCACCACTGCAGAGAGTCCAGCGGAGGGCTACAAAGAGGATGAGGGGACTGGAGCATCTCTCACATGAGCAAAAGGCTGCAAGAGCTGGGCCTGTTCCTCCTGGAGAAGGAAAGACTGAGGGGGGATCTGAGCAATGTGTACAAGTATCTGAAGGGAGGGTGTCAAGGGGATGGGGCCAGACTCTTGTCAGTGGTGCCCAGCGATAGGACAAGAGGCAGCGGGCACAAACGGAAACACAGGAAGTTCTGTCTGAACATGAGGAAAAACTTCTTTATTGTGAGAGTGATGGAGCCCTGGAACAGGTTGCCTAGAGAGGCTGTGAAATCTCCTTCCTTGGAGATATTCCAAAGCTGTCTGGACAGGGGCCTGGGCAACGTGCTCTAGGTGACCCAGGGGCATTGAACAGGAGGGTGGAACTAGATAATCTACAGAGGTCCCTTCCAACCTCAACCGTTCTGAGAACTTACCACTACTGCCATAGAAAACAGGCATCAACAGAACATGATTCAATATTTCTCTACTATTGTTTTGCTAATAACAGTTCAACAAAATGGAATATTTAGTAGTACTGTCAAAAACGTGCAATGTCAGGTCTTCACTAAAAGGCAAGTTGCAAGGTGAGATCATTTGGAAACTACTGGATTTAGCCTTCAACAAATCAAATATCCAGATATCAACAGAGTAATACTTGGGAGTCTAAAAGTTCATAATAATTTTAAAGACTATTACACAAGAAAACACTGATATTGACTTCAGGGAGTAAGTAGAAAGAGCAGTCGTTAAGTGTAACATATTGCTTTGATGACAGCACAGATAGGTAAGTTCTAAATTAAGAAGAACTCATAAAAATCAATTTCAGCCTTCTGTATCAAGCAAAACTTGATAAAAAAAGATGTTTCATTTGTCAGGGTAATATTTTAGAACCTTAAGATTGTTTACTGAATGTTTTGGGCTCAGGTAATCAGAAGAGCTCTAAAACCTGGATTCTACAAATCCAAGCATAACAGTTTTCCTCAAGGCACAAAGTATTTTGATTCTGAAATAGTTGCATGTTTATAGTAAAAGCTCTTTCCCCTCCACACAAAATAAATATACAAACCACGGGGCAAGCAGGAAAGCAGCCTGGTCTTCAACTCCCCCCTGGCAACCAGCTCTGGCTAATGGAGTGACTTAACTGCTTATTTACAGCATAGTCTTTGAGAGAAAACAATCCCTTTCGTTAGGTTGGCATATACTGACAAGCTTCAGAATAAGAAAAGCTCAAAGTCAATGCTCAGATGTGCAAAAGCATTTCAGGACCTATGTCCTAAACGTGCCTGTTATTAAAACCCTCTTCTAAATGGAATTCTAAGGTTAAGTCCTTTTAATCTTGAGACCTGATACAAGAAGCCTTGTGAATATCGTAACCTTTGAACCGTAACAAAATTCAGGGGCCTATATATGGTCTAGAAAGTATGGATAGCATGAGAAGGTTTGTAAAACATGTAACTGCATCCAATAGCAAAGATTCAGTCTTTGGAATTTGATAGCAAGTCTTAATGGGATATTACCTCTTGATATAACATGAGGTTCATACGCATCCTGTCACTACTTCCTTAAGATAGTGTGTGCTTTGGAAAGAAAGTATTAAAAATGCATGTTAGGCCAAAAAACCCAAAGAAATTTATAAAGCTTATTTTCCATTTACAAATCTGAATATAGATTGAAATGACCATCTAAAAGTTGGTTCACCAGCCAGTCACTAACAGGCTAGTGGGAAATGTCATTATTTTCAAAAAACGTTCACATGCTAAAGGTCCCTAAGTTTTGAAACAAATGGTGGCAAGACAAGGCTTTTTCCAAGTAAAATATGGTATATTATAGAGCATGTAATATATGTGATCATTTTAAAAACAAACAGTATTACACTCCTTACTTGCAGTGATAATATATAACATTTACCCTTTGGTTAAGGCTCTTTTCTGTTGCTTGCTTTTAAATCAGTATTTAAATAGCAATGTCACGTACGGCAATGTAATTTGAACACAGGACTCAAATTGCATATTTGTAATTCCAACTATTATTGATCATTTTTATTAGATGAATAAAATTAAACATATGCTAGCCATTATTTGCTTCCATTGAACTGATCTCTATTAATTTGCCTTCCATTACAGGCAGAGGCATTAATAAGAATGTTTTCTAGAATAATGTTATTGCACACTACAAATACACATTTATTTGAGCTCTTTCTCACCCCTGTGTCATCTTCTACAGTCTAACATAGTCCTTTAAACCAGGTCACACACATTTCTGCAGCAGAGGAGAACGTTATCACTGGGCAACTTTTTGTTATTTTGTGTTCCGGAGGAAACTGAGTCACCAAATCCTACAAGCAGGGTGAAATATTCTAGAAAACCTTTTTACACAAGATGAATCAACGAAAAGGGAACATATACCAAAGGAAACAAGACAACACAAAATGGGGAAAAAAAAAGTTACAACAGTAGGAATCAGATACACATGAGAGGGAAAATAAAATCTAGGCTTGTCATCCACTTTGCATCTCCAGAAACACACTTTTAAAAACTAATTTGTTACCTTTCTGTCCTAATGATGTTTAAGAGAGAAACTAGATGACCATTCAGATCATAAGTCAGTAATGATTTACACTCTTCAGTGTAAAACAACTACAGGTTTACAGGAAAAAAAATAAGAGTTCCCCACGGAAACTAAAAGAATGACCATCAAAAGACAAGTCCTCTCTAAAGCATTACAAAAGTGCAACAGTTGCAGAAAATATTAATTTTTTTTAGAACAGAAAAATGATACAAAGCAAAAAGAGAAAGTGGAAGGTATGCTATATTTTTCTTATTTCCCAGTAGACTTACTTTAAACAGTAGAACAGGTATACAGCTTCCCTCTCACCCTCCATGAGAATCCCACAGAGTAAATTCAAATTTTGTATCTGGAAACTAAAACTCCACCAGTTCCAAAAAATCACCTCAGAGTTTAGAGATTTGAGGATTTCAGGCAAGTAAAGAAGGAGGAAAAGATTATCGAGATGTCACTGAAAGCGTCAAAATAGGAAAAGTGAAGGAGTCTTTTTTCTGGGCCCATGATTAATTTTCTAACTTGATACCATATTTCTCGAATACAGGCAGTTTGGGATACACAGTGAGAGTGGAATCCCTACCTAGAAAATTATAGCATTTCTTT